GGTGCCTGCTTTTTCCAGCCCCTGGCAGGCTCCTGAGAGTTGTCAGACTGGTTCTGGGGAGTGGTGGAGGGCTGGCTGGCACTGGCTGCCTGGCTCATCTTTGGGCCTCTGGGTCAGGTGCAGCAACTGCTGGCTCCGGCCTGGCAGGCTTCGAGCTGGCATAGGCACAGTGGCCAGAATCTACCCCTTTAAGGGCACCAGGGAGGCGGGAGGGAGAGGAGTTTTCTTCATTGTGCCCAGAGTGGCCACCAGAGCATCCTGGGAAGGGCTGGAGGCCACCTATTTTGAAATAAGCGTCTACACAGTGCTGATTTTGAAATAGCAATTTTGAAATTGGTGCTATTCCGCATGAAATGAGGTTTACCAATTTCAAACTGAGCCCTCCGCTATTTCGATTGGATTTTGAAATGGCGGTCTGGCTGTGTAGACTCTGGTAAAGTTATTTTGAAATAATGGCTGTTATTTCGAAATCACTTTGCTGTGTACACATACCCATATGGAACAGGGATTACAAACAGAAGTAAAAAAAAAAAATCAGATCATTCCATTCTTTCACTACATGATATTACAATATCTACTATGGAACTAAAAACAAAATAATAACGATAACAGTCTGAATCATTTCTACAATAATAACCATAAGATTCCATATCTATTTCTACATAAAAATAATTGGACAGAGTATACATCATAAAACTGTGAAGCAAACGCACACATGGGCTTTCAAAGGGATTTCAAACCAATCCCTCTTTGCTGAAGCGAGTGCGCAAAATATACAAATCTCGACACCACAATAAACACCAACCCCTTTGCCCTGCCTTGCTTTCCCCACCATGCTGGTGCATGCATGGGGTGAAGCTGAGAGTCCCTTAGCGGGTGCTTCCCACTAGTTCGAATTAAATGGCTACACAGCCCTTAATTCGAAGTAGTTAATTCGAACTAGGCGTTAGTCCTCGTAGAATGAGGTTTACCTAGTTCGATTTAAGCGCTCTGCTAGTTCGAATTAAGTTCGAACTAGTGGGTCGCATGTGTAGCGCCTATCAAACTTAATTCGAACTAACATCTGTTAGTTCGAATTAACTTTGAAGTGTAGACATACCCTGAGTGTTTAAGATGACAAGACTCCTCATCGTTTGTGCAGACTCAGGCTAACACAGTGATGCCCCTGAGACTTGTTCCCACTCAAGTCACTTGGATTTTCCAAACTGATTCCAGCGGGAGCCAGATCAGGCAACGGGAGACGTATAGGTGGCTGACAGCAGCAAAGGAGCCCTGGGGATCCACACTAGGGCAGGGGTGGGGAAGAATTAAGAAGGTCCTTTCCCTTTCTGGGATGTAGGAAAATCTCCATGCCCAGAAAGGGTCTTCCAGGCTGGCTGCTGAAGGGATTTAAACAATTGTCCCCACTGGATCTCTGCTGGGGGTGTTTCTGTCTTCTCCACAATCTGCCTGCTCTTCAAATACCCTTCGAAGTGCAAGTTTGAGAGAGCCACGGAATCGCCGCTTCCTGTAGCTCCCGACGAGAAAGTAAATGACTGGGTTGATGCTGCTGCTTGCACAGGCCAGCGCATGAAACATGTCAGTGGGCTCATGTATGTCCATGTAGGTGAGGAGAAGGTCAACGCTCTGAGGGAGAGTGAAGAGGAGGAAGAAGAGGACGGTGAGCAGGATGACGACATAGAGTTTGCCGGGCGGGCGCCGCTGGGAGCTTCGTTGCACCTTGATGGAGAGGATCAGACTGGACAGAACCATGATGGGGGTGAATATCAGGACATTCAGAACAAAGACGTACAGGAGGGAATTGATACAGCTTTCACTGAGAACTAGACAAACAATGCCCATAAACCAGCAAAGCAAGCTGGAGACAGCCCAGAGCAGAGCAGACACGATGGCAGACAAGTGCTTTGGCCGGCGGCAGCGGTGCCAGATGGGGTAGAGGACGGACACGCACCTCTCGGTGCTGATGGCCGTCAGGAGGTACAGGCTGGTGCTGTACGTCCACAGACACAGCATTGTAATCAGAAATAATATGTAATGAAAGTCAGTATTGTCACAAAACAGATATTCCACCATGTAGGCGGCAAGATAGGCAAGCGAGTAGAGGAGGAAGCCAGTGTCGGCGACGGCCAGGTTGAGGACGTAGACGGTGAAGGGGTTCCTCTTCATGCGGAAGCCCAGGAACCAGAGGACGATCCCGTTCCCCACCAGCCCCAAAACGCTGATGATCACAGTGATGCTGATAAAGGTCACTTCAGGGGCATCAAACTCTGGGCATTCAGTGTCGTTATGTTCATATTCGTAATCCCAGCCAGAGGCTGTTGGTGGCAGGGTCTCTCTGCTCAGTTCGGCCATCTTGGAACCACTGCTGCAGGATGCTGGTGTCCCCCGCTGCCTCTCTCTCGCACACTCCTGTGCTGTTGGGAGAGAGCAGATGGGGAAATTGGTGACTGACCTCCCAGCTCTGTGTTTTCACTGCTTGTTCTAGCCCCTCCTCAGCCTCCAGCCCTGGACCATCCGCACACAGTGGCTTTGGAGATGCTGGGGACAGAGAAAGACATGGAGAAAGGCCCAGAGATGGGGAGCAGCCTGGACCGACAGCAAGTGGCAGAGAGAAAATTTAACCCAGGGAGAAAGCTGGACAGACAGACAGACAAAGAGAGAGAAGCAGAAATGGGACAGGATGTTGGCTGGCCATGGATTGCCAGGAAACAGCATGCGGGGGAAGGAGGGAGAGACGAGAGTGGGAGAGAAAAAGAATAACCCTGTCTAATCAATCAGTGGTGACAATGAGCAGTGAATCCTTCCAGCCATCCCTTACCTGTCTTCCTCCCAAACTGCGTGTTTACAGGAGCCGGGCTGGGCTGGATCCACTTCAGAATCTCAGTGTCTTATGGTCACAAACTGCAATTCTCCAGGGAGGATTTTCTTGGGCACGTTTTCCAAGCAATCGTCTGTTACCCAGGTGCAGAGGATGTCCCTGCCAGTCCCGGTGCAGCTTCTGCACCCAGCGCCTGCCAACTGTAGGCAGAGAATTGTC